CCCTTTTACTTTTTTTGTTGGTTATGTTTTTCGAGATAGGATCTGTGATGGTTAAGATTGAATGTAGACTCACCATAGAAACACAACTCTGGGTGTATCTATGAAGGTGTTTCCAGAAAGGTTTGAGAAAGGAAGACCCACTCTGAATGCAGGGGGTACCACCCCCATAGGATGGAGGTCTCCAGCCTAATAAAAAGGAGATAGCAAGCTGGGTACCAGCATTCATCTCTCTCTGCTTCCTAGCTATGAACACAAAGTACTCACAAGCTGCCTCATCCTGCTGTCACAACATCCCCACCATGGCGGATTAAACCCTCAAACTGTGAGCCAAAATAAACCTAAATTGCTTTTGTCAGAAATTTTGCCATAGCAATGAAAAAAAAAGTAAACATCCCAGACTAGCCTGGAACTTTTCATGTAGCCCAGGCTGGTCTTGAATTTGCAGACCTTCTACCTCTGCCTCCTGAGTGCTGGGATTACAAGTGTAAACCACCAAGCCCAGATACATATTGTCTTGAATTAACCAGAGTATTTATAATGCCACTCTTCATCAGATTAAAAAAAAAAGAAAAAAAAAAAAAACCAAACAAACAAAAAGCCCAGAAAATAAACTGAGAATCCTATTCATTCATAGTTTTAGCATGTGCTTGTTAGATCACCTCTAAAACCGAAAGCCGAAGTATCAATATACAGTCAGAAGTCAAAGCTTCTGTCAGATTCACAAATAGGTAAGAAAACTGTCAACACATTTATTATGAGACAAGGCTTTGATAATTTAGCCCAGGATGGCTTTTGCCTCTCTAAGTAGCCAGGCTGGCCTTAATCCTCTTACCTCAACCTCCCTGGTGTTGGGATTATAAGTGTGAACCACATACTCTGCTCATAGAAAGCAGGTTTGGGTTGTAGTTGTTACTGTTTGTAACTCACTATGCAGACCAGGCTGGCCTCAATCTCACAGAGATCTGCCTGCCTCTAGAGCCCCTCAAGTGCTGGGACTAGAGGCCTATACCACCACACCTCGCATGTTGTTACTATTTTAGTTTTTACAGGGCCAAGGATGGAACCCAGGACTTCACACATGCTAGGCAAATGTTCTACCACTGAGCCACACTTCCAACTCAAGACAAACTTTCAAGTGATCAACAAATTTCAAATGACAGTTGAGATGGGAACAACATAATAGGAATATGCAACAAATGGTAAGAAGCAGATCTTACTGAATCTATTTGTATGGGTTACCATATTTCTTAGAATTCTTTCAGTATGATGAAGTAGGAAAGACTTGTGTACAAACACCAAAGGACTTTCCTCTTCAGAGCTGGGCAGTCTATTGAAATGCCTATACAAGGAGAAAGGTATCTTTCTGCTCCAAGTTATCGCTGCCCTAATGGTTCTCACAAACAAAAAGCAAAGATTGATAGCTAAAATAAAAGACCAAATATATTACGATTTGGATGCTAAACTACAAAATGCATTCCAGTGGTAATGACCACTAAGCAATGCCCCTAGAAAACCAATCACTTTGTTTGCTAGACAGAAGACTGGTGGTGATTAACAAGTACTGAACAAACACAGCACAGGCAAGTTTTTTAGGTCACATACAATCACCTTGCCTTTCATCTTGAGGCAGAACTAGAAGTACACATCTGTTTCAAAGACAAAGCCAATTCTCAAGAGGCAAATTTTTGGAGAACATCCAAAAACATGGGACTTGAAAATGAGTTATGCAATGCATTAGACTGACTGAAGTGTGAGTGGCATCCGGCTCAGAGCGAATGTCTTCATGAATTCCAAGTCAAGAGAGATCTCAGAACCACTGAGGTCTGCATGGCAAGGAGACTGCTCCCCCTTTTGAAGTCATCACACTAGAGTGTGCTCTAGTTACATGACATTTGTCAAGTACCCCCAGTGTACTACCGCCTGTGCTGCTTTATGCATCCTTTTAACTCTCTGATGTATGCAGACAAGCTTCAGCTGGAGTAGAAGCTTTTTGATTACAGGGACTCTATTTTACAGCTTTTTTTCCATCCTAATGCCTAGCAGACAGCCCTGAACATAGTAAGCACTCAAGGTCCGTTTAGTGAATAGACATACAAAGAAAAAGTTCATAGAAAAAGAGAAAAATCATGTGAGGGGGAAAAAAAAAAACCTTCTAGATTTGTTTATCTGACTCCAAAATTAGGCTGGAATTGTTAGCAGACAAATCGTCTTTTGGCAAGCAAAAATGTAACAAAACTTCACAATAAACAATCTGTGTAGCAGAGCAGTCTCAAACACATCTATTTTATCTAAGACAGAACAAATACCAACATCATGACAGACATCAAAATGAAACTCTTCACAACACTAAACAATGTTTGTATCTAACTTTCAATTAAAATATTGTAAACTGGGCTAGAGAGATGGCTCAATGGTTAAGAGCACTGGTTGCTCTGGCAGTGGACCTGGGTTCAGTTCCCAGCAACCACATGGTGGCTAACAAAAGTCTGTAACTCCAGTTCCAGGGGATCCAATGTCCTCTTCTGGTGTATACATGCAGGCAAAACACTCACAAACATAAAATGAAAATATTGTAAATTTAGAAATATAGTCAGTTGAACAGTATTAAAAAGTACAACTTTAGGGCTGGGCACCTTTGCCGACACCTTTGATTCCAGCATGCAGGTGACAGAGGCAGAAGAATCTCTGAGTTCAAAGCCAGCCTGGTTTATACAGAGTTCTAGGCCAGTCAAGGCTACAAAGTAAGGGCCTGTCTCAAAGTGTGGAGAAAAAAAAGCACAACTTTAGTAACAATATCCAAGTGTTATTAACTTCAATATTTACAATTTTAGTACTTCTCTTGCATAAGGAAGGCAAATAGTAATGGGTTTTAAGGTTATTCAGAAAGGTGGTTGGGGAAGGGCCTAGGATAGGACACAGCTTTCTGAGGCCTTCTTAGGAGAGAAAGACTGCTACATGTTGGAAACTATCTAAATGGAAAAACTGATTACTATTTCAAATCCAAAAGAAATTATTTACTAGAGCTGGGCATGGCGGCACTCTCCTATAATCCCAGGACTTAGGAAGTGGCAGCAGGAGGACCAGATAAGTTCAAGACCAGCCTCAATTACACGTAGAGTTCTAAGCTAGGCTGAGCTACATGAGACCTAGTCTCAAAAAAATGAAATGAAAAAATTTACTGCCTTTTCCTATCTGAATGTTTATAAGAATTTCAAATGTATTAGAAATGTAATTGACTCACATAGTATTTTCTCCCTGTAAGCTTCTGTGATTGAGGCATTGCTTTGTTTTTGTTTTTTGAAGAGTTTATTAAGCATACTGTCAGGGTACACTGGATTGGGCAGTACAGTACTGTGCATCCTGTTGAGGTGTTTGTTCAGCAACACTGGGGATTGAGCCTGGGGCAATTCCACATGCTAAGCACATCTCTATCATTGAACTGCCCCTGGCCCTGGCTTACATTAAATGAGCTACATTACTCTGTAGCTTTACCATTTTCTTCATCTGACTCACCAGTGTTTCTATTTTGTGCAACTAAAGAGAAAGGTATTATGACGTTTCTTTTTCTTTTTGTCCTTTTTGAGACATGGTCTCCCTGTAGCCCCAGCTGTCCTGGAACTCACTATGTAGACCAGGTTGGCCTTGAACTCACAGAGATCCGCCTGCCTCTGCCTCCTCCGTTGGAATTAAAGGTTGCGCCACCATGCCCAGCATTATGCTTCTTTTCTTTCAAGATTTAAAATAAATTTTTATTTATGTACATGTGTGTATGTATGCCACATGTATTTGGGTGCCCACGGAGACCAGAAGAGGACCTCAGATCCCCTAGAGTTGGAGCCACAATAAGCTGACCCACATGGATGCTGGAAACCAAACTGGGGTCCTCTCTGGGAGCAGCAAGTGCTCTTAACCACTGAGCCATCTCTCTGCTCCCTAGGTTTCTTTTTACACTTCTCATCAATACAGTAAAGTGACAGATTTCTCAATTACTTGTTCTAAACTGGCATTTCTAAGAAATGGGATCTAAAATCACTGATTTCAGAGACCACATCTTCTGTGCTTAAGAGCACATACACTGTCTTCTAAAGAGACAAAGCTTGGAAGTTTTGTTTTGTTTTCATTTTTATTTGCAGTGCTGGGGATTGAATCTAGGGCCTTTTATATACTAGGCAAGCACTCTATCTAGGAGCTAAATTCCTGACTCTGCAGAACTTAGTTTGAATACAATATTGTTCAAATTAGGTTTCAAAGTCTGTTTTTAAGTAAAAGTTTAATAACATTGCTGTAGACTTTTATACTTTCCAAAATTCTTTCTAAACTTCCTTTGGTAAACTGAGTAAGTTTTTAGGGCCTACTGCAGGCTGGGACAGCAATGAACAAGACAGACCAGAACTTGTTCTTAAAAAGTTTTCAATTCTGCGGGAAATATGAACATTAACAAGAGAGTCTGAGTTCCCTGATCAAAATAATTTAGACTGCAGCACTTTAAAAAACAGATTATTGGGCTGGAGAGGTGGCTCAGCAGTTAAGAACACTGGTTGTTCTTGCAGAAGACCCGGGTTCAAATCCCAGCACCCACATGGCAGCTAACAACTGTCCTAACTCCAGTTCCAGGGGATCCGACAGCCTCTTCTGTCCTCCACGGGCATTGTAAGACATGGGTGCTCTTACCTACACACAGGCCATACATGCATACACATAAAATAAAAATAATAAATAAAATATATTTTTTAAAAAAAAGATTACTTAGTTGGGTGTGGCAGTGCATGCCTTTAATCCCAGCACCCAGGAGGCAGAGGCAGGTGGTCTGCAGAGTGAGTTGCAGGTCAGCCAGGGCTGCATTGTAAGACCCTGTATAAACAAACAAACAAACAAACAAACAAACAAACAAACCCCACATTTATCAGCTCTCCTTGTCTGTTAATTGTTATAGCAGAGCAGAGAACCCATCACCATCTCATAATCTCAAGACTCTAAAATAGAGGTCAACTTGGTCTTACCTGTCTGGAGACAGGTAAACTGATCCTCTAAGTTCTTCAGGGGCTCAATCTCTTTCTTTGCTTTAGATTTCCTTCTCATAACTGGACAATGAAGCATTCCAACTAGATATTCCCTGGTTGTTTGAGAAACAATTTTATGGAGAGATTTATATTCAGCGAGGTTTTGATAGTATACTTTTCCCCCTTGAAATTTCTATGAATAAAAATCAAGAAATATAACATAGTTTAAAAATGCCTAAGACACTCTTCTGAACTCCAGAAAAGTTCATAGACAGGTGATAGCGAGGGCACTGTAGGGGGAAAAAAATACTCCCCCAAATTTAACCTTAATGACCTTGAATAGAACACTGAATGAAATTCAGAACCAACAGTTTTTCACCATTAACTATTTCAATGACATTCTTATTTAGCAGAGAGGTTCAATAAATAAGTACTAAAGTTATATCATCAAACAAGCTAACATTTTGTAATGGGTCCAAATTCCTTGAACAACAGAAATTTAAAATAGCTCAGTTGCTGGACCAAATTTTCTGCATGACAAAGTCTCCAAATGAACCTGGAGACCTCAGGAACTGGGGCACAATCTCCCTCCCTAATTGTGATTATTCTTACGTATGACTGGTCTTCCTGAGTTTTACAGTTATTCTCTAATGTGATTGCTCTTACTTTTGTTCTTACTTCTGCTGTTCTTAGTGGTTTTTCGCTTCCTGAGAAAAAGTGCCTATCCTACCACAAAGAACACTAGGACTAAGCACTGGGAGTGTTTCCAGTGAAAGCTGGGGGTCTCCGACCTTCTAAGCAGCTGCTAGAATGAGGGAAAGAAGTAAAATACAACCCCTTATCTGCAAGTATTACATATACAAATTCCTAGACAAGTGAAGAGAAACAGCAAAATGAAAAGCAGACTGTAACATTTCTAGCTCACATTATAAACCTCTGCATTTAAACATGCAGAGGCACAAGGATGGCCAAATGCACGCTCAGTTTTACTGGTCAGCATCCAGCACAGTAACTAAAGCAGTGGAAACGGGATTTCAAGAAGGGGCTTCCTTCCTCGGAAATAGAAGGCCCTCTCAAGTCAACCTAACTCTGGGGACACCGACCATCCAAATTCCAGAACAACTCTCAGCCAGACTACGTTCATTCAAAGTGTTCACGGTGACAATACACAACCTGGCTACCATGTCTTTCCAACTCTCCAAAGCATCTCAAATCTTCCTAGTCCTTCCCACCTCAAGTTACAAGCACAGTGACTGACACAAAGGCAGTCCGTCCCAAGGCGCTTTAAAGGCTCTGGCACTTACTGAAAAATCTTAAAGTGGGCACACACGGCACCCCGGCTGTCCTTCCTCAATCCGGTCCCAGCTGGTAAGATGCAGCCTGGGAGCCCCTCCACCTGGGAACAAAGCAGTGCGGGCTGTGCCGCCAGGCGCACAATGAGAAACTACCAACTTCAGAGCGCACGAACATCCTCCATTGGCAAGAAAGAGGGCGGCGGCAGACACGCCCAACTTCAAACTCAGGAAACCTACGGGCTGGCGGCCATCTGGAAAGAAGCCCCCTTCCAGGGAGAGAAGAAAGGCGGGGAGGGAGGGTGCGAAGGGGCCCGCCGGGCCGGGAGGGGAGCCCCGCGCTGCGCCCGGCCCCCGCCCCCAGGCCCGCTTCCCCGCCTTCTCCGCCTCTGCTGCGCTGCCCCGGGCAGGGCGGCCGGTTACCTTGATGCGCTCCCGGCACTGGGACGGGGTCCGCTCGTAGCCCAGCTCGGCCAGGGCCCGGGACACGCGCTCGTACATGGCCGGCCCGGGGGCCTTGCTGCCGAACACCGTGCCAGCTCCCTCCAGCTGCTGGTACCGCGCCTCCACCAGCCGCTCGTTGCCCCACACAGCGATGAGCGCGTTCGTCTCGGCCGGCGTCCACGACATGCCCCGGCAGGCGGCCGCAGCGGCCGCCGCAGCCCCGCTACCGCCGCCCCCGGGAGAGAAGGAGACCGAGGACGAAGCGGCGCTGCGGCCCCCCAGACCGAGACCCCCGGACGCCGCGGCCCCCGAGCCCGCCGCGCTGCCGGGCCCGAGCGGGGAAGCCCCCCGAGGCGTGGAGGAGTCGGACAGCGATGGGTTCCCGTCACTCAGGTCGCCTGGAGAAGCCGGGGAGAGCACCTCCATCTTCGGGATTTTTAGCGGCGAGTTGGCTGGCAGCTCCGAGCCACAGGGCGCAGCCATCTTCCAAACGGCCGCCGCTGCACCGCCCGGAAATGACGCGCCCGCATCCGGCCACAGCGGTCTCCGGGGCTGCCCTGGGGCCTGGGTCGGGGTGGGCGGGAGACCCTAGGCGGCGAGTGCGATTGTGGCGGTGGGGCTGAGGCCGCCAGCTGTCTCCGGCCTTTCTCCGGGAGCCTGCCGGAGCCGGCCGCTCCTCTCCCAGGGCGAGGGGCGGGGACGAGGCGCACCGGAGCCCCGAGCTGAGAAGAGGGGTGGGGGCATGGAGGCTCCGAGTGAGGGGCAGACTGCACCCTTCCCACTTCCTCTCCAGTCTCGGCCCCCGGAGGAGGAGTGATGCCCGCCAGGGTCCCGAGCAGAGGAGGAGCTGACCATTCCTCCGGCCCCTGTCTCCTTCTGTCCTTGGGTTCCCGCTTAGCCGGCCCCCGGGTGCAAAGACTAGGGAGCCGAATTAAGGGTATACCGGAGAAGGCAGAATTCTGCGAAAGCAGTCAGGGACCGGGCTATAGAGTTTGTACGCTTTAGCTTTAAAAAGAAACTCGTCCTAGGCTATAGCAACCCCGATTCCACTTACACGTTTTGCTAGGCAGATACCCCATCACTGAGTCACACCCCCAAGTCTTTGATTCCGACACATGCTATTTTCGAGTTAGCCTAGGTAGGTTGTGACCGGTTTGATGTCTTTCTTGCGTTTGTATGGTATCTATAGTGGGGGCATGTAAGAACTTCAGAGCCCAGCAGAAAAGTTGCATTCCCCCTGCGATTTGGAAGTGGCATAAGATTTTCCCAGTTTTCCAAGCCATCAAGAGGAGAGAAAAGACACTGTCCATTAACATAGGTCTTGTGACCGCTGTGATAAATTTGTCCATCAGTCGCTCCTGTACATTTCCTTAATATCTAGAACTTAATGAACACCAAATCTAGTGCCTAACTGTTATGTATTTCCATATTCTTTGACTGAATAACTGCTCATTAACTTTAAAGCAGTAGAGGAACTGAGACTGGGCACAGCAGGTAAAAGTATTTGCTGCCAAGCCTGACGACCCAAGTTCCATCCCTGGGACTCTCACAAGATGTGAGGAGAGACTCCAATTAGCTGTCCTGTGACCTCCATACACGTGACATGCCATAGGCATTACACACACACACACACACACGCACATTTTTAAAATAGCACGTTTTAGCTAGGTGTTGTGTCGCAGACCTTTAATCTCAGGACTCAGGAGGCAGAGGCAGGTGGAGTTTTGTGAGATGAGGACCAGCCTCCTTTACATAGTGAGCTCCAGGGTAGCAGAAGCTACAAGGAGACCCTGTCTCAAAAAGCCAATAAATAAATATCACAGGTTTGGGGGGAGGAGAGATGGCTCAGCAGTAAAGAGCACTGGCTACTTTTGCAGAGGACCTGGGTTCGAGTCCCAGAACCCACATGGCATCCGTAACTCCAGTTCCAGGGGATCCTACGCCCTCTTCTGACCTCTGCAGGCATTGCACAACACGGATGCTCCCACTTACATGCAAGCAATACACTCATACACATAAAAATAAAATATTTTTAAAATATATAAAAAAATCACAGATTTTGTTTTCAAAGCAGACTTCTGAGGCAGCTGACCAATGATTATGAATACACTGTGTGATGTATTATTAACTAGCATATGTTAGATTTAAAGAAGAAAAAGATGAGGTCAGCCACATTTAGAGAATAGTGGTTGTTGGAAAGCCAAAGGATTGTGCAATGGAGAATAAAGTTGGAGATAATTGTCTTCATATGCTGTATTAAAATGCTTCTATAGTTTGTAAGCTAACAGTATAAAGAAGTCTAAGTTGCAAAATTTATATATCTATGCATTTATTGAGCCAAGAATGACCTTGAACTTCCGATCTTCCTGCCTCTACCTCAAGCACTGGGATTATAGGTGTATGCCACTATGCCTAGCAAGTTCCAGAATTTATGGTGTTCTCTTTTTCTCTAAGAGAAAAATACAGTCTATCACCTTGGATAGGGATATGAGTTCTAAAGTCCAAATGCCTGCCTTCAAATTCCACTTCTGTGACCTGAGCCAAATTCTTCAAGTATGAAAAGAGCCTCACAGCATTATTGAAGAAAATTAATTCATACAGAGAGAATCCTAGAATAATTTTACTGACTTCCAGTAAAAATTATATGAGACCCCAAATTTTAAATATCTTTAGTACACCTGAAAGGGAGAGTCCTTCCTATATCATATACAGAGAGTCCAAAGATTTTTTGTAAATACTCTTTATTTTTCAGTGTAAGTCTTTGAATAATCCTTCTCCTAGTGCCTAATTCTGGATGATTCTAAAGTCAACTCTGACTCATGCAGGAAACCTTCCTAGATAAAGTAAGCTGACTGAGAAGTCTCCCTTCCTACAAACTTCTGTTACTAATTATCATTTCTCTATCATTCCCCCCTTCTCATATCTGTGAGTCTACGTAATGAGAAAAAGTTATATCCAAAGTAAAATTTCCTGAAGTATCGTAATTGTAAAACCAAACCAACAATGTAAAAGCTGTTCATATATATTATACAATAATTGACACCTCTGTACACCATAAGCAACCAGGACAGTGTGTTTTCCATAGTGACTTTCCATGGTTGATCTTGAATTTTGGGGATGTGTGAGGTTCTTGGTGAAGACTTCACAGTCTAATCACAAATTAAGAATGCCTACTGTGCATAAAATAATGTGCCATACTTTTCCTTCTGAATCCAAATGAAAGTTGTAAGTAGATATGCATCTATTTGTAAGATAGTATATGAAATGGAAAGTGTATAAAACAATACATACTCCTCTGCCTGTAGACTATCAACTGCATTCTTTAATTTAAACCGTCCCTTTCTCCTCTCAATCCACTGTGTAAAGCCCAACTTACAATGGAGACCCTGGGCTACTGGAGATGCCAAGGCAGTAAGATAGACAAGCTTGAGAAACAAGATGTACCCACTGGTATAATAGTGACATGAGTGTCATGGGGCTTTCTGCTTGTTTGAAGCTTGCTCCCGAGGAGGGAATTCATACCTGATTCTATAAACCTGGACAAAAAGCCCATGACATAGACTGTCACAGATCTTAGGGGGTAAACTTACTACCGCTGTTGTTTTGCTGAATAGATACATAAAATAAATTTAAAAGCTTTTGTACAGCAAAAGAAACCATTAATAGAATGAAGAGACAACATACA